ACTTGCTCCTTAAAACAAGTGTATGAGGTCACTGAGGATCAAACTATGGACCTCTTGCTTAGCAGGCAGCACACTAACCAACCAAGCCACACTTGCTCCTTAAAATAAGTGTGTGAGGTCACTGAGGATCAAACTATGGACCTCTTGCTTAGCAGGCAGCACACTAAYCAACCAAGCCACACTTGCCCCTTAAAACAAGTGTGTGAGGTCACTAAAGATAAAACATTGAACATGTCATTACGAGACTATGAGGATTGAACTTTGGACCTCTAGCTAAACTGTGAGCGCAAATTACCTCGTTGGGATCCCTGTGGACAGCGGTACAGTCGATTGATCTGCATAACATCAATCGCAGACAGAGAATTCATCGAGCCYAATTCCATGTTCGGATCTTGTAGTGATTCAATAGTGTTTTTACCATTCTTGCTAAACTCTTTGCGATGGTAATGCATGATTGACCTAAAGTCATAAGGTTGGCCAAGATTCGTTGACTCCATAGACGATCGAATCTTGAACTGGATCTCATTCCCTTTATCAAAAACACGTGACAAAAATATCATGAAAATATAATTAGAAGGCCGCAAAATATGGTCCTGCGTGCAGAGGTTTTTTTCTGCCCACCCTTCTAGCTTTAGATCGGGGGAGAAAAACAACTCTGCCCTGAGGCGATCGTTCCTTGACTGCGGGCGGTCTGGACATACAGTCCTTTGACTAAACGTTGTCGTTGATMGGATCATCCCTACGCGCCTAGACCGAAAAGGATAACGGGTAAATTAACACGAATAATTAATCGTTCTCTATCAGTCGGTGGCAAACGCACAATGGAGAGCAAAATGCACATTTGTCTTCGCGTTTTACGCAAGGAAAAGAAGAGCCGTTTCACATCATATTCCATCAAGGATGTCCCAAAAGATGTCCTAAAAGATTATCTGCTTGAACGCTGTTCAGACGAGTTATCGCCGGCTACAGATAGTAGCTTCGAAATAGGTTACTTTGGGGATAAGAGCCAAAAATTTACGGTATTTCCAGTCCAGTACAACTTGCTCAAGACGTGTTAGATAACATATGCGGCAGCTAGTAACTGTGAATTAATTATCCCCATGATCCTTTTCGGTCTAGGCGCGTAGGGATGAAGCCGATCAAACGACAACCTTTAGTCAAAGGACTGTATGTCGTGCATGAAAGAGGATGTTAAAATCAGTAAAACTGTCAAGTTAAAGGAAATGACTTCAAAACTAAATGTATGAATTTTGTAAAAATAACTTTTGAAGGAGGGAAGATATGCTTCCAACGAATGCCTTAAGGTGACTGCCTACTTTTGGAAATTGATTTAAACTTTTTTT